TATAAATTTAAAAAGTAACTTAATAATATTAAGAATACTTATAGGTCGATAACTGACGGGTGAGCCAGTCAGTCATTCCCTTTCTTATGTACTGTATAATGATCGCCAATCTTAAGGAATACAGTAGGATTTGTCAATTGCTGTGAAGAATGATGCCAGTATAGCTGACCATTATGCTGCATTGTTTTTAATTAAGTCGGGGGTGGTACCATCTGTAGAGCCGAGGTGGCACAGTGGGTAGAGTGCAGTACTGCAGGCCACTTCAGCTGACTGCTATCTGCAGTTCGGCAGTTCAAATCTCACTGGCTCAAGGTTGACTCAGCCTTCCATCCTNGCTCGTACCAACCCTTTCAGGCAAGCCAGGCCAAGAATGGAACATTGCAAGTTATTATTAGAGGGGTGTGATATTATTGTTTGTTATAATAAGAGAATGTTAAAGCCCATCAGAGCTGCCTGCTACTCTTTTTCATGGGATACAGATTCAAGCGAGGATTATTTTGCATGTCTCCAGTAAGAAGAAGGCTGAATTTGTGTTTCTTTACTCCCTCTGTGAAGAGCAGTGGCTTTCTACAGAAACTTCCTTTAAGACAGAATAGTGCATATGGGTCTAACGCTGTCAAAAGTAATTAGATTAAGAAGAGTTTTATTGATCATGGGAGAAACAACGCCCTCCTTTCTCCTGGACCCCAATGGAAAAATGCATCCTTTCTCCCGTTTGCAGCTGCCTTGCACACACAATCCACCAGAGGTCTCTCTCTGCAAACAGAAGACAACCCTATACACTTTAGCATTGGTCCACTGGAGGTATAACAGGTGGTTTGCCATAGGAGAGTGGGAAGGAAGTGACATCAATGAGTCTGGCCCCTCTAGGATGCTGCATGCTCTTTCCTTTTAACCCCTTAACCGTCTCAAGGGCTTTTAAAAGGCTGCAGAAATGTCTTAAGCGCACGAGATCGAGAGGTGGGCGGGGTAAGTGTCTCTTCCCGTGCAAAGGGAGGCAGAGTGAAGGGAGGGACAGATCAGATGCCGAGTCCTCACGCAGGTTCAATCTTTTAAATCCCGGGAGAGGGAGAGCCCGGATCCTAGGTTACCCTGCAGCTCGCTTCCAGGCACGTAGCTGGTAGAGGGAAAGCCGTGCTCCAGACCAGCCGCGTTGCCCCAGGATTAAATCCAGGTCCTCGGAGAGGAGGGGGTGTCCTGGGGGAATCCTTCACATCCCATATCCTCGATAAAGTTCCTGAGTGGTGGGGAGATTGCTTCCATAGCAAATCTCGAGCAGGAAATAACAACAATTTTGCAAGGGAGGAACCGCAGGAGATTGTGCTCGCCTTCTCCTTATGTGCTGGAGGAGACTAAAATAGGGTTGGAATCTCAGCAGTTCAATTTGTCTTAGGAGGGTGAGTGAACCAGCACATCATTCACCCCATCATCAATGTTTCGGGTGAACTCAGCCCCTGCAGTTGGTTAATCTGATTTATTTGTTGGTTGGTTGGTTGGTTGGTTCAATTTTCCTGGCCACCCATAGAAATGTGTTTGTGTTTTGAGTGTGTTGTGTGAAGTTGCCTGCATGTAATTGTACGATTTGGCTCTTAAAAAGCAAACCCTGAAGAAAGGGCAATGGAACATCGTAAATCAGGTCATTTCATTGTATGTGAACTGAACTTTTGTGATTGATTAACCCTTTAAGCATTTGCCATGTTGTGTGAACCCTGCTTGTAGGTAAATGCAGATATGGGTTTTTATAAAGCAAGCCCTATCTTGATCACATGGTCTCAGGGCACTGAAACCTTCATGAGTACATCCCAGTTGCCAAATATCCAAATATTACAAGGGTCATAAATTTGAAAAACAGGCATAAGTCACTTTTTTGGTGCCATTGTAATGGTTTTAATAAAAGTGGGATACAAATAAATAAATATTAGATATTAATGCACAAGCACTAACTGCTCATTGCCACTATAATCCTGTACTATCTTAGAAAAAATACTTTCTTCCATTGGGATAAGTGTTCTTCAGGGATTAAATCCATTACTTTCTAATTCATCCCAAATACACACATTGGATGCCATCTGTACATCCTCTTGTAGAGGCAAAAATGTCTCTTGGACAAAGACAACAGAATGACTTGTTCTGGTCATTACTATGGTTAGAGGAATGGTCCTGTGAATGAAAAGGTGTTTGGAGATCCACAAGATTCCCTGGACCCATGTGGAGTTGCATTCCAGGGCAGAAAAAAATGGAAAGTAAGGGAACTGGAAAAGGCCCTTCTGGTATTCGGCCTGGGAGCCAAGGGAAGATCTGGGCAAGAACTGAACAGAAGATTCAGGAGGAGANCTGCAGGCCACTTCAGCTGACTGCTATCTGCAGTTCGGCAGTTCAAATCTCACTGGCTCAAGGTTGACTCAGCCTTCCATCCTTCCGAGGTGGGTAAAATGAGGACCCGGATTGTCGGGGGCAATATGCTGACTCTGTAAACCACGTAGAGAGGGCTGAAAGCCCTATGAAGTTGTATATAAGTCTAATTGCTATTGCTATTGCTACTTTCCAGATTTCAGTTGAGAAATTAAATCCATAATTCCTTGGCTTTTACTGGTTGCCAAAAAGGCAGCTCACTATGTCAGCATGGGGGGGGGGGGGAACCTGTTGGGCATTGAGCTGTTTTAGTAGACTTCCTCAAATTTTTGGCAATATAAAGTCAAGCTGATACAGGGCAGGCAAGGGCATCCTGCAGCTGATACACCTGAAAAGGGATGAATTCAGGGGTGGGATTCAAAAATTTTAGCAAGGGGTTCTCTGCCCTGTTGCTGGGTGGGCATGCCCATGGTGGGCATGGCCTAGTTGGCCTCCTGCACCATGGCGGTGTGTGTGTGTGTTTGCCCTCCCCGGGCTTGGGAGACTTTCTTCAAGCCTCTGGGACAGCAAAAACAGTCTCCCCGGGCTCGGGGAGGCCTCCCCAAACTTCTGGTAGGCATGTTTTTTGCCTCCCCGAGCCTCCGTGAGGGCCCTGCCCTTACCTGCATCCAAAATGGACTGTATGGGGACTCCTGGGAGGGGTGAGGTGGACGGGGCAGCCAGGAATGGGATTTGGGGATGCTTCAAACTCAGTGTGACCAGATGAAGTGGCCAGGAGGAGCACTTCCCATTCTAGGTGTTCTAAAAAGGCAGCTCAAAGGAAAGAAGCCCTACTCTAATGGACACAAGGGGAGGGACAGATATAAAAGCTAGGCTTGCTGGTTTCTTCATAGTAAGGAGGACATGTTTGAGTGTCTTTTCTGGTCTGGCATTTCAAACTGCATAGAATCTTAGCTAGAGGTTCTCCTGGATCCCTGTGAACCCCCAACAGCCCAACCCTGGATGAATTGTTTGTTCTGGCTGACTGATTGATCAATAAGATTTCAGGATAATTCTTGGAAGAGCTATAATTGAATTCAAGAAAAACAAATAAATGTAATCATTCGAAGTCTGAAATTAGATTGGGAAACTTACTCCAGTTCCAACCAAATTTTAAACAATAAAGGTTTTCTGCAAGCTTGGGTGTTTTTTTTTTTCTTGCTTTCAAAAATGTTTTCTTTGACCTGTTGTGTGACTTATTTAAACAGTGCATTCCCTCAGCGATGTTAAAAGAAAAGCATGGTCAGTGGTACTGAAAGCCACTAGAAGATCAAGGAGGTTTGCACTCCCCCAGTCCTGATATCTCCATAGCAACAGCAATATACCACTTTACACTGCTTTACACCCCCAATAATTTGGGTGCTCATTTTACCTGCTGTAGAAAGTTAGCACTCATCTGTCTCCTAGAAGAATGAAATATTTTGAGAAATATTAAAAAGGCAAAATATTATATTTCCCTGAATGAGAAATGGAGAAACATGCTCTTGGCAAGCAGCCCCCACCTTTCCTAAGAGCCCACAGCAGATGTCAGCACTTAAGACATAAAGAGATAGATAGCTCTACTCATAAGCAAATACCGTCACCCAAGATTCAACAAAGGTAGGATTAGCCCCCAGCCACAATAGGAATTGCCCAAAGCCCCTTCATTGCATCATCTCAGATGCACCACTCCCAGTAGTTCAAAATTCAACCAAACTTAGCTCAAACAAACTCCTAGGATTTGTATATGGCCCCATGGGAGTCTGACAACAGCTAGTAGAATACATGTTCTTGCACAGGAACAGGAAGTTCAAGTGCAAAGCCCAAAGAAGGTATAAAAGACACCCATTCTTAACTCCAAGTGGTCAGCTGCACTTGAACCACAAACATGGTTCTGTTCATCAATAAATGGACCCTCTTATCAATCGGCCTCCAGCCTCCATTTTGTCTCCAGTGCCTTTCTCCTGGCTTCGAACTGAACCGATTTCTTCCAACATCACCTTGGAAGGATGGAAGGCAGAGTCAACCTTGATCCTGG